TTGTTACGTGACTTTTTTTCTATAAAATATTATATTTTTTAAAAATTTGAATATTTCCGATAAGGAACAGAAACAAAATTATGCACGAACGAGACATCAACACTTGGTCACTTTCTCCTTTTTCTTTCCTTTTTAAGTTGGTTTCGTATTCACTGCACATTTCTGGAAGCTAGTGGTCTGATGCGCTTGCGTTCACTATACGCCGCTCGAAAGAAGCTCAACATTTGGAGTGTACTTTTACTTTTCATTTTAATGACTCTTGCTTTTGGGGTAAGTTACTTATAATTATTGATAAATTATTGATAATAATAACCATTCAGTTAAATACAACTCCATGAAAGTGTTTAGGGATACGTTTTATTATTTGACATATATCTGTTCAAGCACGGATTTATATTACAGGGATCGGACACTCCCAGTTAACCCTATATAATGCTTAGATATCTTGTCGTGCACCCGATAAAGGTACATCGATCGATAATTTACCGGCGCTAATCGTAAATGCCCATTCGCAACGGATACCTACTTTACAAAATACCATATAGCTTTTCCATTTATTATCCGATTTTGGAAATTTAAAGTTTATTTTGAAGAAAAATGCTTGTTAAATTCAAATATTTAATTTATTTTTTAAAGGTACAGTTTATCTGTCCGCAACGACGATTAAAATATTAACTTGACGAAATCCGTGGTAAACTTACATTTTTTATATAAAATCAGGTATTTGAAATTTATTATTATGGTAACATAATAAATTCAATTTCAAAATAAAAAAAGCCGATGTAAGTTATTCACAGATGATCAAATATGCAATGTTTAAGATTTATTGGGTTATGTAGTCAAATTTATTAACGCACAATTGTTTTACGGGTAATGTATTGCGGGCTTTACAAGCCATATTCATAGAATATTTAAATTTTATTCATCACTTATATCATTATTATTTTTTGTAAATCTGTTTTCAAAAGTCGGTGCAGTGAAGTAGACAATCATCGTAACAGTTTTAAAAGTACTCTCGTATCGCTGTCTCGATTTCGGCCTTTTTAATGTCACTCGTATATTTTTATTATTCTTTTTATTTGAATGCATGTAAAAAGATATTTCTGATATTTTTTAATGTAACGCTAGAAAAACAATAAAAAAATCTTTACAGTTTGAGTCAGTATTATGCGAAAAAAAGTAACTTTTGATTATTTTTTTTATACATGCTTAAATTTCTTTGAAGTTTAATTTCTTTTGAAGGGGGTTAATTACCAGATAACAAGTGATAATTGAAAAACTTTATTTTCAAACTTTCATTACCAGGTTACATGTGATAATTGCAACACTCAATCTCCAAAACAAATAGAATTTGAATGTATATTTTGTATGTACGCGGTCTTTAACTACAATCCATGGAATGTGTGATAAGAAAATGATTCTGAAGAGGATATATATAAATACATTGTAAATCTATTGTCTTTATTAACATTTATAAATGAAATAGAAAATAAACAACTTAATTTGTATAGCCCTTTCTTCGAAAAATAATGAAAATAAACATATGACAAATAAATCATTTGACGTGAATTGTAAAGGATAACTATGAAAAAAATCTGTTTCAAAATAAAAAAAAATATTATAAAACAGCTGTTCTGCATGCCAATAAAAGTTTCTTCCTTGCCAATCTAATGAATGCATCTATTTATGAACGCTTGTCTAGAATGATCTGAAAATATATTTAATACAATTATTAGTAGAATATTTACTATATTTATACTAATATACAGGTAATCAAATAAAAATTGTACAAATCATTTGGAAATAATTCACAGAAATAAAGACAAATTTCAAACATGAATTTCTCTAAAGGTTTTTAAGCAACCAAGAAACATTTTTTGCAATGCACCCATTAAACCATGTAAAAATGAATTATTTTAATCTGAATCGCCTAAACAATGGGCGAATATTTTTTAAATTAGGTATTTTTTAACTAAGCGTTGCATCGTTCTATCGGCATATTTTCATATATTAATACTTTAGCGACACAAAATAATACTGTATTAATACATTCATATGTGTATAATTTTTCACAAAGCTGCAATAACATCACATACTCTTGAGAAAATCTGTCATATTTCGCACTCCGCACTTTCCGCCATCTCTCATTCTGTCCACCTTTATCCGATGTGCGATTCCGCGCATGCGCGCGACAAGACTTTAAGCTAAACGAAAGTGTCCGATCCTTGTAATGTAAATCTGTGGTTCAAGTAACTCACAATGAAAGATAAATTGATAAGGTTAAATACTGTAGGTCAGGGTATCGTATTGTAACACCGCCAGTGATTGGCTGAAAAAAAGTGCAGGGAAAACCGTATGATTCAGTTTATACATGAGGCGATTGGATGAAAGTGGGGTGTTTTTAAGTATAAAAACTAATTTAAAAAGTAACACTACAATGTTTTCTGAAGAAAATGAAATATTTCATGAGTCTCTGTGATAATTTTGACTTGGATATTTGCATTTATAAAAAGTGTATGTCAGTCCTGTGATCAGCAGAAAATTTCAATGAAATGGGGGGTAATCCTCTTTGAAGTCAATTTGCAAAAAATTTGGTCGGCTACCCCTATATAACAGAAACATTTTTATGTGTCAGGCATTTCATTCTGCTAGAAAAAATACCTCTTTAGCATGAAAACTGAATTTTAAGGTAGGATAAGGGACCATTTCTTATAATGTAAGTCTATGGAAATATCAATGTGAGTGTCTGACCTAAAGGCACAAAAAGAGGAAAACAAAGATGCATTATAAACTGATAAAATACCAACTTGTGCATTTTTAAGTTAAATTGAAACCGTGTTAATCATTTTATACAAAAAAGGAATAAAACACCGCTTCCTTCTTAAATCGCCCTATCTCAATGTTATTTTTTTCCAGTATACCACTGAATACGCCTCCGATATCTCTACACGTTAAATTCCCCCCAAAAATATGACTACTGACGTCACTATCATTTTTATGCTTCCTGTCCAAACACTCATAACAAACATTGCTCTGTTTACAGGATTTGGAGAATTTCAGAGGTTTACTTCAGAAATTGTGACCAATCAAATTTCTAGAATATAAGACGAGATTACTCAATAAATGCTCTTAGTCCCTTGTGTGTATGTCTGTATTTTTAATCCAATCAATACTGAATGGAAAAAGTTCTTTGTTTAAAAATAATGAATATACTAGCTTGCTGTTCAATCCGTGAAAAAAGAACGCACACAAAAACTACAAAAAAAAACCGTTTAACTTAAATATTACATGGAAATTCAACGTTCGGTATTCTGCAAGAAGAATGGATTATGGACAGTTTAATCTAAAATTAACGAAGTAAATATCTGAAATAAATCGTGAAATGGCACAAGAATAGACACTTAAATGCGTTATAATTATCCAAAATATCCATCTGTAAACAGTAGTAATGCAATATCCTCTTTAAAATATTCATATGTTCTGAACCTTTTTTGGTAAATCAAATAGGCATTATTGATATAAACTTATCTACATTTGAATTCATTATAAAGTATGACCTTCAAAAATCTGGAAACAAAGTGAACCCTCGGAAGCATAAATAACAACAAAATTACTAGAGAATTGCAGACTCGGTTTGACTGAGTCTGTACATGAGGGATAATGAATATGTGCAACATAGATCCTCACGCCCCATAGCGGTACTCAATTTTCAACTCTTAATAGTGCTTGCATCAATGATCCCAAAGGACCAGGAAAATATAACAACACTGAAGTGAAGTACTGGGCAACATTTTACAGCTGCCACACATCACTTGACACCTTTCACAAGTTCCTTTGTATCGTATGTACGTTAATCGAAGCGAGCGACAACAAATTTTCAAAACAAATAAAGAGAGTATATAGCATAACTTAGAATCAATGAAAACAAACACGGAAATATGAAATTCTTTGCAGATTGGGTTTAATTGAGTCTGTTTATTTAAGACAACGACATGTATGTGCATCATTTGTTACACACAATTACACTGGGGTTCAAACTTTTATATCTTCAACAGTAAAAGTGTTGGAATCAATGATCACAAAGGAACATAAAAATATAACAACATTAATTTATTACTTTTTTATCACGTAAACCACGACGCCAATAGAAATATAATGGCATGTTACTTGAATCAATTAACTGGTACGTCTTTCAACGTCAGTTTCTTTCAAATTTTCATTACCCAGCTCATCATTAATTGAAGTTGTTTTAAAATGTTTTTACAAAAACAACATGATTTTATCCAGTTCTTCGACATATTAATATCTAGATATTCTTTCAATAGCCATGGCTTAATAATATGTATTTGCGAAAACGGCACAATTTTGCTTCATAGGATTCCATATCGTGGATTTGAATTGAACATTTGCATGACATAATGCATTGTGCCACGTGATAAAGATTAAGGACAAATTAAGGACGCAAATTGGTCCAGTTAAAACTTATTTCTCCAAAAAATCATACCCAATACAATACTGAAACTGTTTCTGAGACGAGGGAGGGGGTTGTTACGTGACTTTTCTATAAAATGTTTTATTTTTCAAAAAATTGAATATTTCCGATAGGGAAGAGAGAAAAAATCATGCGCGCACCAAACATCAACACTTGGTCACTCTTTCCTTTTTCTTTCCTTTTTTAGTCGGTTGCGCATGCTTAACCACGGATCTCTACAAATTACTCGAAGCTAGTAGTATGAAGCTCGCGTTGACTATACACCGCTCGAAAGAATCTCAATATTTGGAGTAAACTTTTACTTTTCATTTTCTTGATGCTTGCTTTTTGGGAAGGTTACTAATTATTATTGATAAATTATTAACAATAATAATAACTATTCAGTAACATTCAACTCCATGAAAGCTTTTTGAGATTCGTTTTATTATCTGACATATCAGTTCAAGATACAATTCAAAAATAAATTGATTGGTAAAGTTATTGTCATATTTTTAGAGAATGTGCACATGATATTCAATTTTTAATTAAAGTTATACAGAAATCAGATAGAAATATAGTCACTGAGATCTGTTTGTGTTGACTCAATTATTTGCCTGATATCAGCAAAAATCTTTTCATTATCACTCCATCGATCATTACTTCTAAAATAAAGGCAGATTGGCTTGAAAATGAGTATATAAATTTTTTGTTCTTATTGATTAAAATCTTAGACATTCTATTTCAATGTGCTAAAATGAAACAACAAAACAGGAACAAACTTCCCTTTTCATAAAACCAATGAACTGTATCATATGACTTTCAGCAATTTTAAAGCAGCATGCCTCCAGAATCATGCAAATTTTCATGAAAATTCGAAAATGTATTTTACAGTTTAAATATTGTAAAATTACCAAAAGAATGCAATTAACACATTATCAATGGCACTTTCACCCATGTAAATTACCAAAATGATGTTAAAATATGCACAAAATGCCCTTACTGTGTAAGTATCGCAGTTGAAATATAGTTATAATTACTGAGAAATTGGCCATTAATCGCATATAACATGTAAATTGTAACTAGAATTTTGAATCTCTTTACTTTTCCTAAAACTTTTAGTACATTTTTTCTCAGGTGTGATTTTATTGAAATATTTTTGCTCATCTGGAGGCGTGCAGCTTTAAATAACAATATAACAGTGACATGATGAACTTTTTAAGGATAAAATTACTGAAACAGTTTGAAACATCACATTATTGTTCTTTGCTTCAAAGCATAAAATAAAAACTGAAGGCCGCTTTAAGTTAACACATGAAGACATTGTGCTCTATCTAAGTAGAAAAAACCTCGACTTCACACAGAGCAAGGTGATGATAATAATTGTGATTGATCTTCAAGAACCTTCCCGTAACAGGTTGTGTGCACGTGATTTTAACTGGTGGAAGGGGGGATGCAGGGGGTCCAGTGTAAGTTGCACAGACAGTGCCGATGTTGTTGTCGGAATCTTGACGTGTTTCGGAAATCACCAATGTTAAGTTTGTGTTTCTGTGATCTTAAAATATAGAAAAAAAAGCAATTTCATCTATTCGAATTCAACATCTTTCTTAAGGTAGTGTAAAAAAGCAATTTAATAATTCAACAGACACAGATAAACACACCCGTTAATTGAGAGAGATTAATTTTAAATCTTCCATTTATGATTTTATGCACAATATATTTTTTGTAATTTATAGGTAATATCATTTTGTTATGGTTTCTACCACACACATAATTATAATGATTCAAATGATACTCACTATGATTTAACTACTAACGGAGTATATGATATACTTGAATTTATTGTATACACGTAAACAATTATGCAGTTCACAACTTACTGTACTGTTTATCATTCCATAAGTAGACAACGGCATGAGACACTTCAGCCTCATGCTCAAATTCGATTGTCCAAGAAGATAGGTAGTCATCAGTGTGAGCACACCTGTCTACAAAAGTATTGTTGCGATTTCCGTCAACGGCCAAATCTGCTGAATGTGCATTGGTCGGTACACGTGTTGACGTCTGCCAAACACTAGCGGCAATAATATGCTTGGCACCTATGAAATACGTCAATAGATTATTTGAATATCTAATAGCTGATTTGAACTTTTAACATGTTTACGCACTTTAACTCATTTGATAAATTTAGAGATATATCGAAAGAAATTTATCTTATTTTAAAATAAAAATACTCTTTTCTTAAAAAAATCACAATGTTTTTTAACTATTAATGAAAGTAATTATATTTAATTTACAATATAAAAGAGAATCAAACCTTTGTAATACACAACCCAACTTGATTCCGTTGCTAGTGGGGCAGTTGGTACCCACAGGCCGGGATATAAAAGCTCGCACGACTTTGCCTTAGAATTATAATTCACGGTCTCACATCCAACGGTTTGGTCGCACAAAACAAGACATTCTATGTTTTGTATTTTTTGTTCATGTCGAAAAACGTTAGTAAACCTCCAGCTATCCGAATTTATCATCAAATATTTGTTCCAAATTGCTATTGCTGATGGCACGAGTATTAAAATAAAAGTACAAGATTTTGTAAGAAGTTCGTTCAATTTTAATATCATGATTATCAGGGGAAAATTGCAATCTTCAAACAAAAATACATAATAGAATATCTATGATAATATCTATATTTATCTTCACGTTTTAAATGACTGAAAATCCGAAAACTTATGACAATGTGTTTTACTTTTCCCTTCAGCATACAGTACAACCCCGTAAGGACAAGACACTTTAGTGCTAAGAGATGTTATGTTCTTTGGACAGAATCGGCTCTGTTTTTATGGGTTGATTGCTCTACAGAGTACATCTCTCCAAAGGTTGTGCTGTTATATCATTATTCAGTTAAGCATGCATGCCAATAAAAACTTAATAAATAAATCCGCATATACATTATAGCAAAATAAGGCAGATATTTTTTTTATAGTTTTAATACTTATTTCATCAAATTTATAACCTACTGCAAGCCGATTTAGGGACTAATTCTGAATACGAGTTTGGATAGACTAATTTACAAGTTAATTCTAGGCTAGGTTTAAACACCACTTTGTTCGTTCTCTAAACAAAACGTTTAATGTCATTCAAATTATTTATATTCGGCAACTGTTTGAGGTAAAACATTTCCAATAGAAACAAGATATGTTAAACTATTAAACGATAATTAAATAAACGTTTTTTTTTATTTACTAAACAAAACAAATATTGCATTGCATTAATGTTCATGCGAAAAGCTGAGTTTACCCATGTTCGAAAGAGCTTATTATATGTTAAATCAATCAATGTGTTCAGTGATTATCTATGATTTTCAAAAATCATTACTTTTCCCTCTCCATAAGACGTGGTCTTCTACAGACAGATCGAATTTGCATGTTGCAGGGGTGTAAAGTATAATTAAAAACAGTTTTAACGAAACAGTTTTCAAACTCATTTTCCATAGGCAAGGGGAATATTTTTTCGGAAGATGTACGTACTCCTGGTTTTTATATCCTTCACGGTACTATGAACTATCTCCTTTAAGTTATCCCGGACGTCTGGTCGTTTCTGGTTTTACATCGAGAAGGGAAATATTTCCAAAAACTTAGATTCCATTTTAAAGCCTTTAACACAATCACATAATCTGCATTCAGGGACACTTCGGATTTAATTGCTAATCTAAAAACCGCTTTTGCTATTACCTCGTTACTTAAGATGTTACATCTCTATATACGAACATTCTATATACAGACGGAGTAGAAGCTTGCATTCTTGTCTAAGCCTTTGAAAATGATATCTTTAGTTTGACGGTGATCACTATCTACAAAACATATGGGAACAGCAATGGGAAGTTGTATGGCACCATCCCATGCTTGGCTTTTTATGGGTAAATTTGAAAATGATTTTAAGCCATCCTTTTTTAAAACCCGGTTTGTCGTTCCGTTTTCTTTACGATATATAGTGTGTATATAGAGGCATTCCCTTGATGATTTGAATAATTTCAGAGATAGTTAGAATAAATTTCATTCATCTTAAGAATTTACAGCGAACATTTCTTAATCTTTTCTATTTATCTTAGATGTAACTGTTTCATTAGACAAATAAAAATGATAGAAACTGATATCCATGTTAAAGAGACAGAAAACTTAGAATACTCATCCTGTCACCAAATGTTATGTAAAACGGTATTCCGTATAGTCAAGGGAAATGTTATCCTCGTATTACATGTATGTCTGACGATGATAATTTCAATGATTCTTTGCAGAATTTACAAACATACAAAAAAAGAAATTATCCAATGTTAATATTGATCATGCACATAGTAAAGTTTTATGTCTAACAAAAGATGAGGCCCTATGTAAAATAACAAACCAAATGATGAGAATGTTATTCCTTTTGTTGTTGAATATAACCCTATTTTATATTGACAATATTTTTAAAATGTATTTGGATTTACTTAAACTTTTAACTAAATGTTCTGTGCAAAAGCTTCATGAAAGTAAACATTAACCTGCATTTAAAAGACCAAAATGCTAAAGATTGTAACGAAAAAAAACCTTATGGACGTTTCCTTTTTTTGCTTAAAATGTGTCTGTCATCATATTCTAACAACATGCAAAGTTTAAAGAAATTCTATTGAACAGCTTTCATTTTGCCTAAATGTCAATATGAAAACATTCTTGTTAATTCTAATGCTAGGTCTTTCAACAGAAATGCGAAATGTCCATCCAGATGTAATAGAAGTAGATGTACACATTCTCTTTTATTGAAAGCAATAGTTTTGCCAGTACTTCTTTTTCTGGTAAGAACTATCAATTAATAGTTATGAAATACTGATTGTTCTACGAGAAATGTAAAGAGTATGTTGATGAAACGAAACAACAACTTTCATGAATAAACATCGGTTTGATATCAACAATTATTTAAGATCTTTTAGTTTTATCTTATGTCGCTACAGACTTTTATAAAAGCAAGCATTGTATAAACAATTTTAAATTTATGCCTATAGAACTTTTCTGATAATAGACAGGACTGATTTTAAGAAAATATGAATGCTAGAGGCATTTTATAGTACATTCAAGTAATATCTTGAGTGTTTAAACCTAATACGGGTATGCTGAAGACGATGAGGGTGGATACCAAAAAAATAACATTGACCTTGACCTTCAAAAGTTCAATTCAAAATGGCCGCTTAAAAATACAAAAATAGGTCATTAAAACTATGATACAATATGATGCAATTAATTATTCTTGTCAAAATCAAATAATTATTCAATAGTCTCTACGTTTATACAATTATTAAGTTAATTAATAACAAATTTCTAGTAATATAAGGTTAACACGTAAAAATCATCCAAAAACAAGGTCATAAAGGTCATATATATTTTTATTTCGCAAAACATGAGTATTAGTATCATGTAAGGTTAATATTAAACTAATATCATATTAAGAATTTACTGAATGAATTTGATACTGAAGCTTTGAAAGAACTTTACTGTGTTATGCAATAAAGCTCTCAATATGGTTTCATATGTATATTTCAGATCACACTCATGAATTGAGTGCCCCATTTGTTATACGTACACATGCCAGTATTTGTCTTAGCCTGAAGCATTGGCTTGGATAAGTCGTTAAGTCTTTCAATATGTTGTTTTCTGATATTTTTACTGCTCAAGAATATCACAAAGGCAATGTCGGTCTTAAAAGTAAAAAGTAAAAAGGCAGATTGAAATAAATTTAATTATTAGCATTTCCAAAAACGCTAGAAATCGCCATTCAGCCGGGTTTTCGAAAAAAACAAATCGTGAAAAAACCTCATTCCTGAACAAAAGAGCTAATGTTTCTTCTCTTAAGAGAAATATTCCATATATTGTTTACCCAGTAGAAGCCCACACACTGGATTCAAGGTTTACATATGAAGAAAGTTGTTTAATTCTATATAAAGCTAACCCGACAAAAACATGGCGGATGGCGTGCTCCGTAGGCGTCCCTTTTCTGAGGTTTTTTGTCTTTCAATTTGTTATCATGTGGCATTAAATTATGCATTTTGAATGGCTTATGGCAGGCATTGTTCAGGGAGAAATGGTTGAATCTTGTTAATTGTATATGTCACCATCCAGGAACAGCAACAATATCAAAACATGTAGATAAGGTTATGTAACCCAGTGACTTGTAAGAAAATTAGGATTGACTGGGTTGGAGATTCCTAAGGAGACATTCTTTTTGATTTTATGGTTTTTATGGATTCCATTGCAAAACAATAAGGCTATGAGCGTATCATGCCATGATCTCATTTGACTTTGAACCTAGGTTGGTCAAGGCTATCGGTAACGCTTTCATTTTCAAATCCCACAAGAATCAGCTAAAACGCAATTAAGAGCCTGATGAATAATTAAAGTTTTTGGCAAACAGGTTATATAATATATAAATATGCTTGAGCTGAGAAAGTTGTTAGCATTTATTAGCGTGACTTGTTTTAAACCAAGTCTTTTTGGACAAGTGAACTATTACGGGTGTCTTAAAATTAACATTAGTGATCCCAACCAACACATCGGTCTGTAAATACCAACAGGACTATTTGTCCATATTTTTTTTTATTTTTATTTTTATTTTTTTTTTGGGGGGGGGGGGTATTGCAGAAAATTTTTGGTGGTTAGGGAGTAGTGGTGGAGTAATGGTGTTAGGAACTGATAAGCAATCATACGGTCATACCCGTCTTCTGATAACTCTCCTACAACTTTTATATAGGAAGCTCGCTCTCAGATGAAATTTTGTTGCCGTTGATGCTGAGTGTCTTTGGGACTTAGGTTTAGTGATAGTGGTGGTTATGGTAGCAATAGGAAGGGCTATGTCCCAGTGAGTAATTGTGAGGGAAGAGTAGTTTAAGAGTGGCTCAGCCACTGACCATTTAGTAATGTTGGGAGTAGGGATAACTGCAAGAAAAGAGGTGCCTGGATTATATAAGTATACCCAGTGATTTAGTGGATCATTACCTTTAGAAACAAATTACTCAAATTTTACACGTCTTATGTGTTGAAGTAGTCATAATCAGACCTTGGGCAAATAACTTTAAAAAGTAAGTGATTAAGTCACAATTATTTCTTATTCTTTTACAACAGTTACAACGGATTACAATTATTTTTACATGGGCAATTATGACAACTTCTGATTAATTTCTCATTTTAAAATTGCAAAGACCTAGCTATTTTGTGTTTTATTAACAAATTTTGAAAATTTGGATAACAAAAACCTATGCAAATATGAAATATTTAGATGAGCATTCAAATACTTTTGTTTGTAATACATTGTAAAATGAATGTACACATAAGTGTGATAATACAAAGCAAGCTTTTTCATTTGAATTCGGTATGTATGTACATACAATTTCATGTAGCAGTAGTAATGATTATGTGTTTAAGGGTTACAATTACAAAACTCTTGGGGAATGTTAAGCCCAGATGTGCATGTTGTAGTGTATCTGTTTGGCTGACATCACATTAGAACACTTTGTCGTAACCTATTTTGTACCGGCTTCAAGTACAAGTTAGTTATTAATAAAGTTTCCTTGCACAGTTGTGCCTTCATCCCAACCCTTTAAAATTGTTTTTTTTTTTTGGGGGGGGGGGGGTTCAATTTATTATTACATTTTTTTTTAATTACGGTATTTGTATATCATAAAGGGTTTATTTAGTTGTTGTTTTTTTTTGGAAA